TGAGACAAGCACACACCCCGGCAGCTTAAGACAGGGTCTTTCAGGGACGCTTGCGTCTTGGGATGAAACCCCTGTGACAACGTACCACGGAATGTTGTTTCAGCCCTGGTGTAGGGGAAGGCTGCTCCCACTGTTGCCTTGCCCCACCAGCCGGGTCGGATCGCTCCTGAGCCCTCCCCTGGCCTTTCTGCCGGGGGCGTGGGCGGGAACTGCTGCGGCCTGCCATCCGCCCAAGGACACCTGGCTGAATGGAGTCCAAGGGCTCCGCATTCAAACCTCCATCGCCCGCTTCTTCACTACTAAGGAACGGGCTCTTGGGCTGGTGAAATCTAACCACATCCTAACACAAGAGGCCTCACTGGAACGATCTGAGCCCCCAGGGTGGAGGTGCCCGTCACCGGGCAGCGTTTCTTCAGATCTGTCTGTGCAAATGCCGCATCCTCACGGAGCAGCCAGCCCGAGGAATCCCAATCCACAGGTGAGCACGCCGTCTCTCTCCACCCAGCCCCTCAAAGTGGCAGAAGGCAAGAAACGGGATCTCCGATTAACGGCAGCGCCACTCTGCGGCCGACAAACTGGCCTGCCCGGAAGCCGCTCCCCACGAGAATCAACGCTGAGCCGGGCGGAGGTGACCGAAGCCTCTCGTAGACAGCTCTGCACCCCCCGGCGCCCTGCTTTGTTACTGCTCACTCCTCTGCCACTGCACGTCTCTCGGGCACCCACTGTGCGACCATCCCAGCTCTGGAGACGCGAAGGTGGGTGAGTCAGAGAGAGCACCCTGCCCTAGCGGCACTAGCTATCCGGACCATGACCCAGAAACTTCCGCCCTGCAAACTGCATACTTAATAAAACTCATAACTGCATGAGAAAGCTACTGAGAAAATAACGCCACAGACATTATCAATTTCCCATTAGCCAAAGACTTTGAAAATTAGTAGGTGAAAAGAGTCTTAGATTCATAATGAATTCCATAATTTTCAATTTAAGCACAAGTCTGGTGCACAGCAGCCCCACAATCAGACTGCAATGTTATATGACCCCTGACTTGCCTATCAGTTTACTGTTCTGGCCCCTTTTACCCAGGGTGCCAATGACACAAGTGAGTTCAAATAAGTGAACATGGCCAACTCTGTTGGCTCATTCCTGCCGTTACAAATAGGGAAGGGAAGGTACACAGATGGGGCCCTTGGGGGAAGTACTCTCCCATATGTCACCGGAGATGATTCTTTATTCCGTGCACCTTCCGTGTGTTCAGGTATGTTCTCAGAACACAGAAATTACAATTCAGCATTTCTTCCTTCATTAGTATGATTTTTTGATGTGTGGACCTAAAACATTTTGCATAGGGTAGAGAGAAAGAGGAAAATAGCCATTTTTCCTTAATGCAAGTGGTTTCCATCTGCTCACAAAGTGTAGCGTCACTCATTAGAAGTGGATTCAGTCCACTTAGTGTCACAGATTCAAGAATTTTCAAAGCTGAAAGGAACCTTAGAAAGCACTTTAGAGCCTAAGAAAGTTCTTAGAAAGGAACATAGAACCTTCTTGTTAAGTCCTGTCATTTCCCAGCCAAGAAACCCCAGGCGCTGAGCAGACAGGTGCTGCGGATGTCTGTGTGCTGGTCAGGCCTGGGCCGGAGCCTGAGCTGGGTGTGCACAGCGAGCAGTGGTGAGACTAGGGCTTGGTGGATGAACTATGCTTTTAAATCAGCAGATTAGGGAAGGAGCCCTCTCAAGACAATAGGTTTAGAGTTTTTAACTTCCACATCGGTCGTATTTAAATTAGCAAGCTGACGGGAAAATATGTCTGAAAATTGGTGCTCATGTGGATGAAATACTGATAGAAAAGACCAAACTGCGTGCTTGGGGTATACACGTCTTGTAAATCCACAGATATTTCCCATGAAAGGAGTGCTAGGTAAGAAAGTAAAGATGCTAAATTTAGGTTTTTCATGAGCTCACAGTTCCACTGTTTTGGTGTCAAACAATTTGGTCAACAGCAGGTATCAACCTTTTTAGCCTGGCACTGGGAGGGGTCCAAAGATCAATGGGACCCCAGACCTGCCCTGGGTCTAATCATGCTTTCCAAGGTGAGGACAGCCTTGTCCCAGAGCCCGGAAGAGGGGAGGGCGCTAAAATTAACCAGACTCTAACACAGTTTTCCAGATGAAGAGTTTGGCAAAAGCTCTCTTCCCGGCCTAGTCCCTTGTCTGGTTGATGGCAGAGTTGGGACATGTCTGTGTCCCAAGCCCCGGTGTGTCTCTGCCCTGACTCTGGGGCCAGAACTGCACTGCCAGTTACCCAGACCCACCTGCAGAGAAAAGATAAAACAGCTCGCAGAAAAGAAGTCTGCAGAATAGCTAAATAATAGCCTTCCAATAAGTGGGCAGAAGTGTGACGTCTCTTCCCTGGTGACAGAACAGGAGGATGCGGGTTTACGTACCAATAAGAGGGGTTCTACATTAAATACAAAGGAAGCCTTCTGACTGAGAGATACGAGATGAGATACACAACAGGAAGCTGAAACTTCTGCCCTGGAGTTGTGTTTTTGCTTAGTCCCATCATTTTCTGAGTCCTGAGAGTTTTCGTATTTGGATGAATGACCCGTCTGAGAATCACGTAAGTCCTGCCCCACCTCCAGAACTCTCTGGTATGTTCTTCCTTCTCCTCACGTGGCTTCACCCTCTGTGGTCTCAGCTTGGTGCCGCCATCTTGGGCCTCCTAGGCTCCCACCCCCTCACCCCTGCCTGCTTATTCTATTCATTTTTCAATAATATATGATCATATTATGGGCTTAACGGTGTCCCTCCAAAATTCGTATGTTGAAGTCCTAACCCCAGTACCTCAGAATGTGACTATATTTGGAGACAGGGCCTTTAAAGAGGAGGTTAAGTTAAAATGAGGCCATTAGGGGGGCCTAATCCAAACTGACTGGTGTCCTCATAAGAGGAGGAGATTACGACCCAGGAGAGACACTAGGGGTGTGCAAGAATGGAGGAAAGGCCGTGTGAGGACATGGCAAGAAGGTGGCCCTCTGCAAGCCAAGAGAGAGGCCTCAGGAGAAACCAAACCTTGACCTTGGATGTCTAGACTCCAGAACCATGAGAAAATAAACTTCTGTTGTTTAAACCGCCCAGTCTGTGGTGTTTTGTCACGGCAGCCCTAGCAAACTGATAGATTATCCGCATCCCTTTTTGCTTGTGTGTTTATTGTCTTTCCTTCCCGTTAGAATCCCAGTTTCACTAAGGCGAGCCCTTGGCTACCTTGCATCTCTAGCCCTACACCTGTGCCTGGGCTGAGTGAGTTAAATAATTAAAGCCCTGTATTTCTAGGTAAACACAATTCTGCTGAGATAGGTCTAAGCCAGTAAAAGAAGGCCTTCTGGAATCTGAAATGAAGCCACTGTTTCCAGCAGCATAAAAGAACAGATTTTCCTCTGGTTTCAGATGAAACACTGGAAGAACACGAGATGCCATCAGTCAAAGCACTAAACTGAACCCCTTTGGGCTTCATACCAGGTGCTGATGCTAAGTTCTGCAGTTTTAAGGGAAAATCCCTTTCTTTTAATGAAGATATAGAATTCTGAATATTTGTTTTGTTTGACAAGACTATTATACAGTTAACCATTTCTTAGAGTAATAGCATAGCATATTTTCCAAGCCTCATAAAAGGGTATAGATACATTATTGATAATTTCTCATAAATTATTATTTTATGAACAATGAAATGTAATTTTTCCTGGGACACCGTAACCTAGCCTGTGCATACTGGATATTTATGTGTTTTTTTTTAAGTTCTGCTTTATATCATATGTTGTAAGTGGTATCAGCCAGCAATTAATTAATTAATTTCTTCCTATTTTTTTTTTTTTTTTGAGACAGAGTCTCACTCTGTTGCCTAGGCTAGAGTGCCTGGCGTCAGCCTTAGCTCACAGCAACCTCAAACCCCTGGGCTCAAGCAATCCTCCTGCCTCAGCCTCCCCACTAGTATGACTCCTATGTTGCTACCTAGCTCTTACTTCCCTCTTCCAACTTCCATTCTCTCTTCTTGAATCACCTACAAGATATTTTCATTGCAAAGCTCCATGGTCACCTCAAGTCCATCGTATTTGAACACGAACACATCACCTCCCCCAAAAGCCAGTTTCCTTTTCTGACTGTTTTGTTCATATAGTAGGGACTTTGTTCCACCCTTTGTTCATATAGTACAGACTCTGAAAACTGACTATGCCCACCAAACCTGGTCTGAAAAGCAAATTAGGGTATTTGGTTTCACATACTCACCTTCCTCTCAACAATAACACCAGATGGAGATATTCAAACACATAGCACATGAAAATGAAACATAGCTCCTCATCGTAATGCCTTTGGGATATTACTCAATCACACTCTAAAATAACTACATTCATTTTACATTATATTTTTCACCATTCATCAAATATATTCAAGAACCACATGAGAAATGTCAACACTTCTCTCAATAAGTAAAACAACATGACCAGACAACATCAACATCCAAATGATGAAACATACAGATGCGCAAATATGGAGCAGAGATGGAAGGCAGGTTCTCTAACATATCGCAAAATATCCCATGGTTGCAAGAAAAAAGCAAGACGTGATACAACGTATTAGCCAATAAAAGCCACTGTTTTGTGAGTCCATTGATGCCATTCACAGGTAAAAGAGCTGTAGGTATCCTACGGGGCTACTGCCATCTCAACCACCATATTTGCCTGTTAACAGGGCGACAGTACCCCCAGATGTAGACGCAGACACTTCCCCACGCGAGCACATGAAGGAACAGTGGACGATGAGCAACACTGGCTACAGTCTGGTTCCCCAGGTGCAGAACAGATTGACCGAGACTGTGGGGCGTGTGTGTTAGTTTAGCGATGGGAACTCAACAGAGGTTGTGAGCACACGTGTGTGACAGAAGCACAACCCTCTTGCGAGATGGTGCTTCAGTGAAAACATGAATGGCACACGAATGAGCAAGTAGTACCTGTGACGGTCTCATTAAATGGTCCTGGACCCTTGATGGGAAAACCATCAATCTTGATCCATTCACCTCCTAAATTAGGGAAATGCAACTTGATAGTTAGGAACAAGCACTATTGGATTTCCACATTTCAGTGCATCCCTAATGCATATTTAAGTGATCTTTGCAATAGTCTCCAAAAGGATCTGCTTAGGCCATGTTGGTGACTTGACACCTAAGCTTTATGGACAATACGTGTTTTTGGTCTTTCGCACGGGGTTTTTTCTCCAGTGAGTATTCAAAAAGTTCAGACAAAATACTATTATAATAACCTACATTAAAACTATTTTAAAAGAAGGGCTAAGTCTCTCCTAATTTTCAATCATTCAACTTTTTTTACAAGTCTAAAAAGTTCTTGTTCAGAAATTCTATAATAATTCTAAATTTATATTGACTTGAAGAAGCAAGCAGGGATGTATCTCCCAAGCTAAGTAACAAAACTACAGCCTTCAATTCTAGATAAGACTTACCAGGCAGGCTCTCAGCTCTGTATACTGGACGGCTCACTCCACTGTGGTTTTCTGCAGTAACCAGCACAAAGTACACTACCCCCGGCTCTGAAACATACGGTTTGTATCAAGCCACCATTTCAAATCTCCAAGAATGACACAGTTTGACTCCCTAACCATCTTCCTTATACCAAGTATAATTAAATATAAAATCTGAGTTAAGTGACAAGCATATGATAGCTTTTTAAATTAAATTCACTGACATTCTTCTCATGCAACTAAAACATACCTGACCCAAAGAACATAAACTTATTTACTACAAAGTAGGTGGCATATGTAATAAACCTGGATTCAAAAACAGTCAACCAAAAGAGTTTTTGAGATTTTTAACATGAAATTAATGTAGGAAGTAGAAACGCACTGTCCGCTAACTAGGTGTTTGGACATTGGTGTCAGTAACTACAAATAATATTTCCCCGTAGGAGCTCCAAATGAAAATCTCCAGAAAATAATAAGAAATGTCAATGTAATTCATAAAATTTAGCACATGGGAAATCTTCACTGCAATACATAAAGCTTCATGAAATTTTCTCTTTTTCACAATAAAACGTTTTCTGCACTGTATCTGCAAGTTGTTTTTGACCATTTCAACAAAAATCTAGAAAAAAATATTTCCTGGAATCTTGAAAATGCTAATCCTGAAATAACAGGGCTTTACTTTTTGACCTTCACCTAGGAGCCAAGGTCAAATAGCAGAGGTCTCTTTGGCTGTGCTCCCGAAGTTGTTGAGATAAGAAAGGAAACCGAGACACCACAGTATGAAGGGAGTGTACCCTGAACTCGGAGCTTCAAAAAGCAAAACTCCAGTAGCGCTGGTTTTCCTCTAAAGAATCTTGTAACAGTAAGTGAAGCGGCCAATTCCTTGTAGGAAAAGTTTGTGGGCATTTCAGGCAACGAAGGGTCAAAGAGGTAAGAGTTCTGTCAAAGGCAGTAAGGATAATGACATTTCTCAAAGCAAGGAGCCTCCCTTTAACAAAACTTCACTCAGTCCTCAAGCCAGAGGCCCCTGAACAGCAACTGGGCTGACAGCATCTGCATCCTGCTGTGATCTGTGATCAAGACTGGTGTGACTTCTGTCTGGCCACAGCAGGACCTGGGGTCACTTAGCGTTTGGTATGACCTGCCGGACTAATTAGGAGATGCTCTCGGGTCAGACCGAATGCAAAACCCAGCTTCACAAGACGCTTTCTCACACTCTGAGCTTGTTCGTATGATATTTCAAAGCAATTTAATCCACATGTCTCTGATTCCCACACAGTTAACTGATCAGAAAGTTGCTTGGGAGTTACTATTTGTTCTTCAGGGAGTTCTATGGCTCTCTTTTCACGTGTTTTTCTTCTCTGCAGCAATCACAACAACCAAGGTTTGAGCAGACAGAGGTGACCCTTCGTGCCTTCGCCTGCTAGACTCCCCATTGACCTCGAGGGCGGGCTCAGGGGCCACCACGGTGATGCATGAGATTCAGGGAACGTATGTTCAGCTGAAGCCACGAGGAAGCGAGTCTGGGAGTCTGGCCTCCTTTATCTCCCTTGTATATACTCTCTGCTCTGTTCCACAGGAAGCATACTATCAAATGCAGGAGGTGGAGAAGAGTGAGGTAGGTGATGGCTGGGTGACCGGCGCTGAGCAGTGATGAGCTGACTGATCCCGTAAAGCAGCAGTCCCCAACCTTTTTGGCACCAGGGACTGGTTTCATGGAAGACAATTTTTCCATGGACCAGAGTGGGGTGGGTGGAGCCTGTGCAGGCTGGTTCCTAACAGGCCACAGATTGGTACCAGTCCACGGCCCGGGGTTTGGGGACCATAGCCCTAAAGGATCAAAATGCCTGGCATGGGGAGACCTTGTTTCCTATATGCTGACTTCTATTACTTCCTTAAGATCCATTTAAGGTCAGGCCACCACAGGATGGTAGAATTGATGGAATTTCAGGCTACTGAAACCAAAAAGTAGAAGACGGAGGATCCAGAGACAACTCAAAGCCTAAGTCCAAACCACCTACATCTGCACTTAAGTGACAATATATATTGAGGCAAGATCCAAAATATTCCAAACTTCCAGGATGAAATTAAAATTAAATTTAAATAGGGAAAAATGTTCCTTTAGCCAGATGTGGCTACTATGCACAATATATTCCACACACCTTTACAGGGACATAGGACTTGAGCAATCCCTGATTATAAAATATGTTAGAAGTCTCTAGATTAGCCTACTAAGTTGTCTACTAGTCAAGTTTCTATAAGATAAAAAAGGATCAATATATTTTCCAAAACCATATTCAGAAACTAAACATTGTTTGCTACATCAATGTGGGGAGAGGAGCACTTGAGTTCAAGTGCATGGATGGGGAAGCCCAGTGGCCAGATGAAGGCGGTCAAGCAATGACGAGAGCCTCTGAACTTGGGCACCCATTCCCAAAGAACTATGTGGTCCCTTGGGCCCAGCCATCCTTTGTCTCACACATAGTCATCCTAGGAATGTAACTGAGAATGTTGGTGCACAGTTAATTCTGACTGGCAACAAGATCACAGTGTCACTTACCCACATCCTCAATAAGGAAGGAGTATGTCTCCGCATTCACCTTGATGTATTTAAGACTTTTCAGTGACTTCCCATAGGCAATGTTGTAATGCTCCACGGGTCTACTGGTAGCATCTTTGGGTGGGTCCCATGTGACTTTCAGGCCCATTTTAGTGGACAGCAGTTTCACGTGCCTTGGCTTCAGTGGGTGGTCAACTATGCAAACAGTGCAACTATCAACTTATGACAACAGCAGATTAGGAAAATGAATTTTTTTATGTTCTCTGATATTGTTGGCAAAAAAAAGTAAATGACATCTAATCTGTTTGATCCTAAAGACTTTAAATACAGTTATGTTTGCACATCATTACAGTATGACAGCAAAACAAATATACCAAACCCACAAGCTTTTATATATTTTTGGATAACCGTGGGTGGTAAATTTAAAACAAACGGGAAACAAATCAAAATAAACTCTAGGCATTCTCTGGCTTGATTACATTGTCTTGCTAGTGCAAGAATAACAATTTAGTAATTTGACATAGTCTCAAGATGCATTCCTATATTAAATAAGTTCTTAGCATTTTGTATGATACAGTTGGACAATCTTTAAAACACCTCTGAGAAGAGCAACATAAAACTATCCTGATAAGGAATAATATTCATTGCATTCTAAGTGAGATAACAGAAGCATTCATTTCTTCAAAGAAAACAAACCAAGTTCATCAACAGCTTAAAAGGAAGATAAAACTCTGGTTTTATCTGCATATAACTAATGTAAATGTTTCCATATTTTGTTGCAGAAGAAAAACAAGTTAGTGAGAAGCACAATTACATTTTTATCTTAAGTTATGAGGTTCCAAAGAAAATTCTTGATTTTCAAATTACTAAAATGAAACATAACATTTTGTCAAACAAAATCTCTCAGCTCACTATGTAACTGATACTGTAATACAACACAACATAAATATAGGCTAAATATTCAAGCAACAGTCAAACACATTTTGGTCAAACTTGGATCTAAAACTGACTATTCAATGATGCAAGGCACGCTCAGGAAAAAACAGTAACCTAAGAAAGAAGAATCCAAAAACCTTTAAATTTAATAACATTAAGAAAAAAAAATGCATTTGGAATCTCATAGAAGAAGAAAGGGAAAGGAGAATGTTTCATGATAAAACACACATTGGTTAGGATGCGCTTTTAATATTGGATAAAAATTCTGAACAGAATAAACACAGATGATTTTAACATATATCACTCACTCCTCCCAAAACTGCCCCCTACCTCTGGAGTAAAATGATTAGCAAGGGAGATAACTCTTTAGAGAAACTGAAGGGATGAAAAAAGAGCATGAGTGTGAAGATTTTCACAGCATTAGGGAAAGAATCTCCATTGTGGAGACATGCACAATTTTGGGCTAAGGGTACAAATCAAAGTCCACGAGCATTCCCCCCAATTCCAGATGTGAGGTTTCCACAAGCCTGGGATGGAGAAATACAATCTAATGCTGTCTGGGGAAATGGGAGCTAGGTAGACTATAAAGACAGCACACCAATCACTTCTGGGGCATTGAAAGTTAGCAACAGTGGCTACTCTTCTCGAATTTGCATTCACCCTTCCTCACAAAAAACTTCAGGAATCATTCTCAGGAATCCAGTATCTCACACTAACCAAAAGGTGTGTAGAAGCAAAGCAAGACATCCAAAAACTACAAAGGGGAGCTCACGGTTGGGTGTTTCTCCCACGGAAGAAATTGAATGAATGAATCTGTGAATAGCACTTTTCCTTACTGTTCAATTCCAAATCTCCCTTAAGGAAAGTTTGATCTTCAACAGTCTCCCACCCAAGTACTAACCAGGCGCAACCCTGCTCAGCTTCCAAGATCAGATAGGATCGGGCACGTTCAGGGTGGTATGGCTGTAGACCTGAATAGACATTCTGAAATGTGAGACCTGTGAAACCCAAACACTGTCACGTTTTTCTACTGGGCACCAGTGATTCAATCCGTACACAGCTACCTCAATCATAAAACGATTTACTTTTATGACTGATACATGAAAAGAACCACTTGCAAGTGTACTCATCGTTCTCCCCTGCTATGCTTTGCATTTATCCCTGGACACAGAATTGAATAATTTCCAACTCACATGACAATCCACATTCAAAGGGACGCATCAGCCCAGTATGAGGACAGCCATTCAAATCCATCAAGGATCTCCAACAAAAAGAACAGAGAAGGGCAAGAGGAAAATGCCTCTGGCTGTCAAAATCTAATGCATATCATTTTGTCTGCTCACTCAGGGTTTCCAAGTGTGTTCATGCATGAGTTGGTTTGCCCTCCTCTCCCCAGTGATCAAGTACCATCAACTCAATAACTGCCCGGGCCGACACCGGCATGTTAGGAAAAAGGGCATATGACGTATATCTGCTCTAAAACATATGAAAATGGGAGTGTGAAATGAATGGCAAAGGGGGCTTATGGAGTGTCTACTATGTGCCACTTAAACTTCCACTGCGAGAGGTGCTCATAACACGCGCCTTGGGAAGTATTACTCCCTCTAGATTACAGATGAGGACATCAAGACTTGGAACAGAGAGGGTAGGTGAACGTCCCAGAGTCACACAGCTGCTCCAGGGATGAAGCCACTGCAAAGGCTTCACTTAATTCCAACGCCCAGCTCTTCCAGAAGTTCATGGGCCCTCAGAATTGGTCCTAGATTTTAGATGATTAATGACCATGTCCAGCAAAACATAGTTAATTTAGGCAGCCACGGCTATCCTATCACAAACGTGAGGCCTCTGTAGTTGTGTTTACCATTCCTACCACCCTCTAGCCCACCTTCCCCACCGTTTTCCTCTCTGCGGGCCCCCGTGCCCCTCCTTCCATCACCTCTCCTTGTGCTGGGTGTGCTCCTTGTCCCCCTTCCCTGGAAGGAGTACAAAAAGTGAATGACGTGCTCTCCTGGGGACATTTGCATTCTTGCATCAAAACTTTAAGCCACAGGAGGGACTTTCTAGTAGTGACATTTTAGGCCTTAGAAAGTCACCTAATGAAAGTTTTTTTGTGTTTGTTTGTTTGTTTTAACATAAAAGCCTTTCAGGGACCCTGAAACCAGACCTTAGAGGCAACCTTATAGTCACTCTCCCTGTAAAGTCAGTCCTGAATTTCTGTTTCTCTCGAGGCCTGGGCCCATACACCACCACCTCCCCTCCCACCTGCCCCCAACACACACGGCCTGGGCCGGCTCATCAAAATGCTTGGCCTGATTAGAAGATTTTTTTCATTTCCTAGATTCCTATCAACTTTGTTGTTTAAAATTGATGACATTTTGGGGGCATCATGCCTAACTCAGAAAGGACTGGACAAACAGACCAGCAGGAGGGCCGAATAAAAAGCAAACCCGCCCCAGCCTCACCCAGCACCACCTCAGCTCTGAGTGGAGTCATCAAACCAGCCCCTGACTCGGGAGCCACCACTCAGGCAGGTGCAAACCAGTGCGCATGCACTTAGGTTACTTGACAGAAAACTCATCCTTGGGACTGGAAGTATGACAACGAATCCTATTCCTGATCAGCGTTTGGAAGGTCTAATGACTGCAGTCCCTAGATGTGGGATGAAGGAGAAGGAGTGTGAACGTGCTTTCAGGCTCTGTAGGCTGCATTCTGGATTCTGTGCCGAGGAACCGGCATTCTGATAGCATGAAGAAGCAACATGACAAAGGGGGTCCTTACTGATTCTTAGTATTCTTAAGACACTTGGGACAGACCACCCTCCCTGCTACACAGATGGAGCACATAACCTTCTGTGATCGTTGTCAGCATTCTCATCCAACGAAGATGATACTGGGGACAGTCCTTAAAGCTACATATCCCATGAGCTGTGTCTCTGAAAACAAAAGGACAAACCCAAGCATCAGCACAGCAGGAATCCTACAGCCCGACAGAGGGGATGCTGGGAGGTCTCTTCGCAGGGCAGGCAGGCAGGTAGGGCACACTGAGCTGTTTTCTCATCTCCACAGGATGCAAAATGAAGAAACGAGCTTAAGCTGCAGCCTAAAGGATTTGGGGACAAATAAAAATAATTTCCTGTCTATGTCCTTCCCCATCTCCCCCACTCACGGCTGACTTTGGACGGAGACAGATGGCAAGGTGCTCCCAACAGAAGGAGGAAGCCAGCAAGGGCCTGCTATACCTCAAACATTTCATATCACAGCAAAGTCACTGCCGTAGCTCAAACCAGTGAACTTTATACAGATTCCAGGATATTCTGCCAGGGACTCAGTGGCAAAATAATATTTTGATGATCTTGCAGAGAGCCAGCAATTGCCAGGCTAGACGTTTCTGTGCCATGGCTCCCATGAGTTGTCTATTGGTTTGTTTGGGAATGGAAAATAAGGGTGCAGCCAGCACCAAGACTCTTTACTTTGGTCTAGCTCCAAACTCCAGGCGGATCTTACCCAAGAGCATCCAAAGAGGCCAGCTTGCTTCAAACTCCCAAGTATAAGATCCACACTGCTCAAGGATGGATTTCAAGATTCCACTGGCTCTGCAGTGTCTGTCCTTGGAGGGTCTTCAACTTCCCCAGACAGGCCTCAAGCAGTTCTCCAGGGACAACGAACATTTTGAGTCCAGAACTAAGACTGAGCCCACAGCTAAGCCCTCAGGGCCAGCCTGACTAACCACTTCAGGGTCTGTTCATCATGGTGGACGGCCCCAGGCCTCCCCTGCCCACTCAGTGCTAACCACACACCCAGTGCTCACTTAAATGCCTGCAAGGCCCAGGAAGGTGACACAAACGAGGGCGGCCTATGGAGAGTATCTACCCCAGCGACAGGCACAATTTGGTTTCAGGAACCTGCTGACAAAAGGAAATTCAGGCCCCACATTGTCAGATATTCTGGGTTTTTTTCCTAAGAAGTTAGAAATCCTAACTTTTGTGTGAAATCTCCCAATTTTATATTAATTGGTGATTAATTCCACTTTTTAAAAACACTATGTGGGGGCACACACACACACCAGCTAGCCAGACTTGGTCCACTGCTGGCCGGTCAGTGATCTCTGCCTTGATCCCAGAAGAAATCCTTTAGTTGCTGATGCAGACAGTCTCCCACGGTCCGGTTTCAATCCTGAGACTCCTCTGTGAATGGGGGCCCATGAATCAAGGCGAAAGCTAAAGTCTGGAGAACTGGAGCTATTCCAACCCCTGAAGGCATTAGGCAAAGATCTGCCCAAAGAACCACGTCCCACCTCCAGACCCCCTGCTCTCCCCACTCCCACCCTCACCCCCACGAGACCCAAGACTCTGAGAAAGCTGTCCTGGGCTCCCAGAAATAAAAAAGGCACATCCTAGGAGGGCTTCGGGGAGGGGATGTAGGATGCTACGCAGGCTTTAACTACTAGCAAAGCCAACAGTTTCTGCACGTCCATCTCTGGCCTAACCATTCCACACCAATATTCATACCGTCTACATAGTCCCATATGAATCTCAAACTGAACATGCTCAAAATGAAACAATATCTAACTGCTCAGAATTGTGGCTCAGACATCACCACCCATGCAAGCACCCAAACTAGATGCTCAGAGTCATCCTGAAGTGTACAGGCATGTCCCCAGCAAAGGAAAATACATGTTTCCTCTAAAGGGAATTCTGACAAGGGATATTTCTCAGAATAAAGAGAAGGAAAGTTCAGAATCAGCTAATAGAAGGAGTCGATGGTAACAGTAATACGATAATGACACACTTTCTACAGAAACCATGCTGAGAAAACTGACATTCGAAACAGTAACTGAATCTTCCTGGATTCAAAGTGTTGCTTTTGTTTGTTTCTTTGCTTGGTTCAACTTTTAAAAATATAGTTACTTAATTAAATTCTCCAGGTAGGTAAAAAGCGAAAGGAAGATGGATGGCAGATGTAAGAGAGTAAGAGGTTATGGGAGCATTATTAAGGGAGAAACTAAGACAGAACTGTCTTCTACCAGGCACACCTGCTTTGAACTGGCTCCACCATAACGCTGAAGCTGGCTGATTCTGGCCAAATATGCTACAGCAGTGAAAGTGTTGGCCAGAGTCGGCATTCAATAAATGCCAGATGAGTGAATGAATACCTTAAGTTTGATTTACTGTCCATCTACCCTCTAGAAACAAGACAGTAGCTGATAAACATGCTTAAATGTTTCAATTTCTGTGTCTGCACTGAAGTAGAGCTATCATTGTGGATAATGAAGGTAAAACCCACGGCCGACGTAGGAAAAACCCACCAATAAAATGTTGCGTAGGGAGAAAGCAATTACTGATGGAATCATTGCAAGAAAAACAAATGCCATTTCTTCTTTGATTTTTCTACCAAGTGCTCACTGGAAAAAATTACTCAAGTAACTAAAAATCGGTTTTGATTTGCTTTGAAAATCAAGTCTGAAAAGTGGATTCGAGGTACTCTTTGGATCTCACAACTCCTGGTCATAGTGTACTGCCCACCTCCTTGGTTCTTAGAACCCATCTGTTATATCTTAAATAGCAAATGGAATACATTTGGGCAAGCAATAAAAACAGGACTGTATGTTTCTACTGCACTGATAAATGACAAATTACCTTTTAATTTTATTTCACCAACAAACTGTATGAAGCGGCCTCCCCTGAATGTGAAGCATAAGTGCTCATTGCAAACATTTGGGTTCAACATCAAATTGAGAAAAGAGGTAAAGGTGTCAGAAATCAAAATATCAGATTTATTGCTGATACACTTAAATTGGAGAATTTGGCTCAAGCCTGTGGCCACAATCCTGTTTCCTGCTTCCCCATCCCCCCTCTTCAGCTCTGGGCCATTGGATCACCCAGAGGGGATGGCTGAGCCTGCAGTACAGACGGTTCAGCATGCTGCTTTCCCAAGGTACGGACAGAGAGCAACAGGCCTGGGCCCCGGCCCAGCAGCACCCTCAAGGATGTGGGACTGGAGCCGAGCGCAGGCAGACCTGAAAAGGGACATATGTGCCTGTGGCCTCTAATCCTGTAACACCACCGGGTAGAGAGAGTAGGTCGCCAACATGGGCTCTTCCCACTGGCCCAGCGGGCACGGCTGCCCCATAGAGCAGAGTATGGGATAAGCAAGAGGCCAGAAACGTCACTCTAGTGACAGCTCGTTGGAAAAACATGAGAAGAAGAAAACAGCATCCCCCTTAAGACCTCCTGACATCCCCAGCTGGTTGTCCCTGCCCCCACAGGGTGCAATGATCCACCTGTGGTCAAGCTGTGGCCGCCCCTCAGGGTGAGGATTAGGATGACCTTGCCCCATTTTCAGGAGACCCCCTGCAGTCCCTCCCTGCTTCTTCCTGCAGTCCCGGGTGGGATACCACCCCTGCCAGGACCCCAGGAAGCTCAGACGTGAGTAAGGGTCATGCTTGAGCCAACTCTAAAGCCAAGTTGACCTTCAGGCTGAAAATCCACTCCTAGCCTGTCCTATTCCAATCCCGAATTTTGCCCAGTTTACATGGTCCAAAAGAGCCCAAAGCAATGAGATGGCATGACGGCACAAAAACATACAGCTAACACAATACACGCAATATAAAAATACCCTGATTTTAATAGAAATCCCTCCCATCCCAAAATTCCCAGGGGAAACTTAAAGCTCAAAAAGAAAGCGTTTTTTATCTTGTAGCATAAAATCAAAAGAAATTAAAGTTGAAATAGCTTTCCTCTTTTACTTCTTTTATACTGTTTAGTCTGGGCCAGAGGAGAGTCATTCCAATGCCCAGACGGGGTCAGGGTTCCCCCAGCGACGACCAGAGCCTCTGCCACAATACACTGAATTTGGCGCCATTTCTTCAGGATTCCCTAAAGTAAGAATAATTGAATCCAAAGTTTCCCATTTGCCTAAATTCTTTGAGTCCCCAGACCCTAAACTCTGCATGAGGAGGCAAATCCAAGCTGTGCTGCATCCGGGACACGTATTATTTCTGTCTCTCTAGTACAGCTCCCCAATTCTTCAGGTAGCAGACCTGTGACCACGTGACCCCAAACTGCCCGGGACGCTTCCCTGGCTTTGCTCTAAGTGCAGCCGGACTGGAGATGCTGCCGGTGCTTTCTGGCTGGGTCTGTGCAGGGAAGACACTGCAGTTGCTGGTGACCGGCTCTTGCTGCCACGTGGAAAAGAGACGAGAGATGAAGCGAGAGTTCAAGTGACGTCTGGAGCCCTGGTTCTAGGCTCCCTAAGTCCCTTCCCATGGTGTAGCTCTGAGGGCCACTGAATTCTGAGACTTAAATTAGTTCAAGTTGGGTTTTTGCCATGTGCAGTCAGACCCTAACAGGCCAGGACATTATTAATCAAGATGATCTATGAATGTTAAAAACAAAAACAAAAAAAAAACACGTTTTGAAGCTACCCCCGCAGCCAGTGCCTTGGGTCACAAAAACCTGCCCGTGCGACACGCCCAAAGAAACAAAGGCAAATGCCACCAGTTACGGCTGCCATTCCCAGGTGACGCTCAAGCACCCAGCCAGGCCAGCGGTGGACGCTGAGGAGCAGGTGAGGACGGTCTGAGTTACAAAGAAACCCCCAGAGGAATGTTAAGGGCTCTTGGGATAAACTCATCCCTTAAAACCCCAAAAACGCTAAAATTATTTCTTAAGTATACCAAAGATTGCTCTTCCACGCAACAAAACCTTCATGTTTATGTAAGTCTCCTTATTTCATCTTTGTTTGAAATTCAAGTTTTACACTGGAAACCACCAAATACTTCCCAGACTCTGAAATGACGAAAACACAGATCTCAGTGTAACCACGAGTCTTTGACCAAAAATCCAACAGATAAGCCAGAAGAGGTTAGGATGTGCTAGAATTGCAGTGTAGCTTTGGGGTAGGAATCAATGTGAGATACAACTTAGAGACTACGATTCAGAGGAAAGGTGGAAAAATTTAGCTGTTACCCATATGATACTAGACAGCACAAGAGTATTTGGAAATTCAGAAACATCCGGGTACTTAGCAACATGACTGACACTGAAAGGACTGACCAAATTTTAAATAATTTTTCAAATAGATGTTGGAATTATATTTGCTGAATACTTATGATCCCCCTTCTCCAAACAAAAACCCTGAAAGTCCAGATCTGTCTGTAGCTGTGTGATGTAAGACTGATATACTAAGAAACGTTACAGAGGGTGGACTGAATTGTCCCTCTGGGAGGCTGGTGTTGGGCTGACAGAGTCTGGTATTAAAATAACAGCCCAGCTCCCCTTCTGGCATTCCTCAATATGCATGGCATTCAATAAAGGTATTTTCCACAGGGGCATTCACTCTTTAGGGTTAGATAACTATATGAAAAATAACATCAAACTCTTGGTCTTCAGAGTCTGAACTTGGAAAATACTCCAGGGAGCTGAAATTGTTTTACAAACAGAACCTCTGACCCCACCACGGGAGGCCACACAGCGCTGTCATAGGGTCAGAGAGAAACATCAAGGCAGGTAGATGTCCCGGGTCCCCCAGGAGATCAAGGACAGCCACAGAATCAGACCACGCTCTACAGACTGTCCCGGGTCCATCTTCCTCACACCGGATCGATTCCCCACATAGCAAGGCTAGCTTGCTGGATCCCACCCCCAGGCCTGACAGCGCCCTGCTGTGTTTACCTGGGAGGGTGGCAGGTGATGAGTGAGGAGCCGTGGTGGCTGCGCGTCCAGCGCTCACTCCTGACCAGGGAGCCAGCTGGAGGCCGGCTCACCTCTCCAGCCACCTCCGAGAAACCTGAATTCCCTGCGGTCCTCCCCAGCCCCTCTGGCATTTTCCAGCATTTTGACAACAACAAAGCATCAGTTTATTCAGACTAAAAGGCCAAATCGCACACATACACGCCGACATGCTCATAGGGCACTAAACGGTCACTGAATACAATTGTGAATCACATTTTTTCTTTAGCCGCTCAAAGAAGCCAGATGGTGAAGCCATTGAAATCTCCAAGGGCAGCCACCTGCCAAGGGTAGCCATCTTTAAATGGAGACTGTCAGAGTCTGATTCTCTCCCCGCCAGACTGCCAGCGCCACCAGCACCTTCTGTGCAAGGAGTTTCCACCTCGGGCACGTTTCAAGTGGCTGCGTATCGAGGTGATCCTCACACGTGGGCTTCAGTCAACTGCATTCACATCCCCATGTCACCTGGCTCTGCCTGGGAGCTACACACAAGTGGGCAACGCAGGGGGCTGCCAGGCAGTGCCGCCAGCACGTGGGCACTTCCTAAGGA